AAAGCAGGGTTCTGCTGTCTCATGTCTCACTCTTCAACAATCTCTGTTGTTGCTGTTTCATTGTTGTTGCCCTAGTTGAGGTAGCAAAGATTCACATGTCACGTGAGACTGGTTGCTGGTCAGGAGCCCAACACAAGAGTTGATTGGGATGTGGAATTCCCATTGCATCGCATCGAGCCAAAACTGTCTCAATACTCCTTGTCATTGTTTCCGCTATGGTGGATGAGTCCGATGGGCAGCGCGGATCGATGACGAATAATTTCAAAAGGCATCCATGAAGCCAAACAGCCTGTATCTTAAACTTTGGCCGCACATGCTGGGCCAGAGTTTTGGGCGTGACTGATGCACGAACCCTGGGGACGGACCATTTAGCCTGATCCATGCCATCCTCGGACGCATGTTTCACATTGTTTCACTGCGTGACTTGTTCCACTGCGTGATGTTTCACTTCTTGCTTTCATTGCTGGCAGCAAAAGAGTTTGTAAGATCAGGCCATGGATCCATATGGATGCATAGGGGTGCGGAATGATGCTGCAAGGGGGACTGTGCCTGCATGGGAGCGCGTGTGGCATGGGAGACAGGCATTTCAGAAGGGAATCCAAGAGACATTGACTCCCATCGGTTGAAACATCAGTGAACGACACACAAACAGTAAACTATGGCTGTTCAGGTTAGTCATTTGCCCTATAACCAAGCCTCTAAAAATTCCTCCAAGTCTCTATCCTTTTTCACGCTGTCCACATGCAGTTTGTACTCTTTTGCAACATCGAAAGCCATTTGGGAATCCTTGGACATGGCATCCACTGATGGCTCACTGGCTTTTGCTGTAGACATATGGTCATATGGTGATAATTGCACACATGATTTGGTTTTGTTACTAGTAGCTCAGATTCAATTTGAGAGTAGCAATGAATTGTTTTTTGTTACCAGTGCTCTGAGACACTTTGGCCATTTTGAACAGCTCTTTGAACTCAAGACAGTCGTCGCATACTGCGTGGGTCGAAGACGGTGTGAATCTAAGTATCTTGGCCCACTTGTTGCGGAATTGGCGCCAAAAATGGCAATACCTGTAAACTTGCGCACATGTCAACAAACTTTAAACATGGTAACACAAGATTGAGGTAGACAACAGTTGCACACGTTTGTCACTAATGTGTGTAAATGTCAGCGAGTTGCGATACTTTGCAAATGTTCTCTTCACGGAATTGAGTCCATAGCATTTTGATTGACCCTGGTGCTAAGTATCTTGTGGGTAAGGCACTGAGCCTAGTACAGCCACCAGTCTCCACATACCTGATAGGAGCACTGGTACCAAGAGTGTTTGTTGCATTGCAGTGCACACAGTCTGTCTGGTATGCTTTGAGACAGGAAACTTGCAATAGTACGAGTTTAATCCCAAGATGTGCATACGTAGCTCTTCATCGTCTTCTAGGCGTTCATTCCCAATTTGTAGGGCATCCTGGTCGTCCTCGACTTCCGAGGACTCGTCAGACACACCTGCAAAGCTATGGTAGCTAAAAACCAAGCAATCAAAGAAAATGTTACAAAGGCAAGGAGCTGCAGCAATATATATATTGCAATGTTCGTTGAATTGAACTCATAAGAAACCATGAGAAGTCTTGCCTTCGTCTGAGTCTGGATCGCTATGATTCAAGTGCGCACACAGTTTCTCAGGCTGCAAACTCGAAGAGGTGCCCCGAGCACGTGCTGCTCTCTGAAACCTGTCAGTGTTGTTGCAAAGACCTTTAGTGTCACTAAGACCTTTCATTCCAGAACCCCTGATGCACAATGTGCCAAGAAACTTTTGTGGAAGCATGCCTGCTGCTTTCATGTACAGATCCAGCAAAAAGTGGTCAACCAATCTTTGCTTCTTGGGGCATCGATTCCTCCCCTTGGCTGGAAAACAATAAGCTTTAGCAAGAGAAAACTAGCAACCGTAGCTTGGGGCAATAACACCATTGCATTCGTACAAGAAAACGTCATACCTCCTTTGATTGGAAACATAAAAAGGGAACATGACCAGTAGAAGCCAAAACACACCGCCCCAAATTCGATACCTGCGATCCATGCCACCACGCAAAATCCGCAGCATGCGCGAGTTCCCCATACCAAGCACAGCATTGATGCACTTGGGAGACATTCTGTTTCCAAACAAATGCCAGGCCCTCCGCCCCTGCTTGCCCTTCTTGATAATGGTTTCGACCTGACCACTGAATCCGGATTTTTTGTAAATGAGTGAAATCGAGCAACCAGCACTGAACTTCCATGGCCTGGCACCAAATATTGAGAAACTCAGGATAGCTTAGGCTAGGGCGTAGAGGTCTTGACGCAGTTTGGTCATGCTCCAGAAACACTGCAAAAACTCGGTGAGAAGTCCCATCTTCTGAAGCTTTGCAAAACATTGTTTCCTGTGACATCTGCAGTGACTAAGATGTTGCAAATGTTCCAAGCGATCCGGAGAGACACCATTGTCACGCTGCCTGGGCGGCGTTCACAACATCTTGAAGTTTACAGTATATATAAGGGACATGCAATTAGTATAAAAATTCTTTAAAAGAGTTGGAAAACAAAACAATTTGATGTACAAGAACTTGTCATCTGGTTTGAGTGCTTGTTGCTGGCTAGCTACAGCCGGTGCTGATAGCCCTTGGCCAAAAGTCTTCTTTTCTGATTGTTGTAGTTGGGACGCCGATGGTGCCCCAAAATCCTCTCCCCAACCTTTTTCTCGGGGTCTATCTCCTGCTGTACTTTGTATGTATGCTGAAAGTCTAACAAGTTCTTCAGCGTGAAGTTGACCTTCAAAATCTCGGACCCTGATGGTACTGCACTTGGGCTTGGGCTCCGCCCACGCTTGATTGATCTGAAGAAAGCACGTCTACCACTGCATGCATGGCCAGGGTCACACAAAGTGCTAGTGTCAGACACGCGTTCACTCTGAACTGAGCTGGCGCCGCCGGTGCCTGATCTGGATTGCTGAACTGAGCTGGCGCTGCTGGTGCCTGATCTGGATTGCCTCCGAAAGAACCTGGGCTGGTGTGTCTTTTTGAAGCATGTAAAGTAAGGTGGATGATACATCTTTAACCACACGTTCTGCCACAGTGAGCTATGGAAATCCTCCTGCGGAATGTTGCTCACCATTGAGAGGTCATGGGCCAAGTTTGGCAAGTCTATGGTTAGATTGGTTGAGACTGGACAAACAAAACTGCTGAGCAAAACCAATCTCAGCACATGACTGACGCCGCTGCTGCATAGCAAAAGTAGTAGCTGCGCACCTAGTCAGTAGAACTATCGAAATGCAAACAGAAGCATGGACCAGAACATGAACCAAACGTTTCCTGTTCAGGCTTGGTCATTGGCCTGTGTAGCTGAGTTTGGTGAGGCTGGTCCTGTCACGTTGCTTTAGTTGATGGGCCCAAACAAGAATCAAATGGGCCCACATTTGTTTTTTGAGTTTTTGCAATCAATACCTTTTTGAAGCACCAACTAAACATCCCATCCTTCGAAGTAAGAAGCACCACGAAAAGCACCAGGGCCTTTGAACTCTCCAGCATGTGAGGCACAACGCAGCTGAATCAACAGCATCAGTGGAAAAAAAACAAGTCGTAAAGTTTCTGAGATCTTGTCTACGCTTGTGTTTGCCAGGTTCATGCCTGAGCGGATCTGAGCGGAGCTGAGAGAGAGATTGCGCACCTTCTCTTGAAGCAATCAGCATTAATGTCATTAACCCACAAAGATATGAGGTCCTGACCAGGATCAACAGTTTATGTGTAGATATCATGGCGCAGTGGTTGAGGGATGCTGCAAAGTTCAGGGATGCTGCAACGCTTTGTGAGTGACAGAAGCATGTGCTTCAACCAAAAGCTGTTCATGATGTTTGAAACATCCAATTTGGTTCGATGGTCTTCGGGCCAAACAACCTCAACATGTTTGTCAAGATTGCGCAATGTTTCTCATGAATCTTTCTCTGGCATACTTTGTCTAGAGCTCATACTGCTGAAGCCTTCCTGAGATTGTGCACAGCTTGCAAAATGCTGTGAAAAAACCGGATGCCCAAAGAATGCAAGAGATTTTGGGCTTTGCGAAGTTTCGGGGAGAGCTCACACGAGTTCACAGCGGTCGGCAGCTGAGCTGAGCCAGTCGCAATCACTGGTGCCAAGTCAGGCCTGAGAAGGATTGAGAAGGATAATGGTTGATCAATGATAATTAATAATCAATTATCAACAAAACTTTCTCAGGGGCTTGCTTCTCAATGATGTTGGCCCAGCTTTGACCATGCTTCCTGGGCAGGTGGATATCCAGAAGGTGGATATCCAGAAAGGGCAGTCAAGCACCCATCACTGCGAGCCTGACTTGTGGCACATGTCAAGCCTGGAAGCGGGGACAAATGGAGGCTTGTGAAAAAACAAGGTTGCAGCTGCTTTGACTATCCAGGCCTCCTGCTGGGTAAGGTCTTGATAAGGTGAGTTTTGATCCAGAACCAAGTGCTGCAAAAGAACCGGCAGCAAGTGTCCCGACACCCAATCGAAACGAGATGACACCTGATTGCTATGAAATGCCCTTATATATATAATATATACACCTAGAACCTGAGTGACCCCTGCTTTGGAGGAGCAACCATCCAAAATATGGCCTTTTCTGATCAAAAAGGAGGTCAAATGGGTTCTAGGTAATAACCAATTTCTTTTTGTGGGACGCGAGCGACGGGAGGATCCCATTCTTGGCCCCGTCAAGGTGCAAATAGGTTCGACTAAAACATGGCTTGGGGTATGCCGGTATATAGGATGGTATAGAGTATCCCTCTTAGAAGTCCACGAAACGACGATCTTTGGGCACCGCCCAAGGTTTTAGGAAATTCCCGGCCTCGCATCACCTATTCAAGATCTTTTAAAGGACTCGGACTTATAACTCGGAACACCTAGTAAAGGTCTTGGACTCCCAGGGATATCATGATCAAACATTGAGGGCTTCGACGTCCAAACCGTTGTTCGGTCGACTGCGAGGCATGCGGCGCTTCCCCGCCTGTGAGGGCCTGGTGGAGAAGGGTGGCTCAGCTTTTGCTGATAGGCTTTGTACTGTTCAGCTGTTCCCTTTGGGAGCATGAATTCACAAAAATTGCCGTTCTGTGTGCATGAGAATGGCTCCCAGCATCAGCCACGTGGCTCCCAGCATCCTCTTCATGTGCATGAGAATGGCTCCCATCTGCCACGTGGCTCGTGAGAATTCACTGTCATCCTCATGGGAGTACCGTTCCGTTCCGAAGCCCGAACACCCAGGTTGTCTCTGCGTGGTGCTCTTAACTTCGGGCACCGAGGACAACAAGGCAGACGCCGGGCAGGGGCACCGTGTTCGAACCGTGCGAACGGTGCGAACCGTGCGAAACCCAGCGAAAAACCTTTGAGCGTTGAACAGCATCCATTTTTGGTTTGGGGAAGAAGATGAGTCAATGATTGGAGGCACCATAGATGTTAGGCCAGGGATTTTTTTCAGCGCTGGAACTAATTTTGTAGGGTGGAACTCAGTTCGTAGTGATGTGTGTTTGATATGTTGTCTTCTTATGTTTTTTTTGTTTTTGTTTTTTGGGATTTGAGGAGCGATGGTTGGTTTGATCTGTCTATCTGATCTAGCCAGGTATCATTTGTCTCAGAAAAGGGTTTCCTCAACAATCACAGACTGATGGAAAGCTAACCTGAAAGCAATTCCTCAAAGCGAATCCGAGTATCCTCAGACCGGTGGACATTTGGGGCATGCGTTTGCGATCTTTGGCACGTGAGGCTTCATTAACAATATAGAAGTTGGAGGTTGAAGGACCTATCTGAGAGGCCCGCTCGTCAACCGAAGTGAAGGCTTGATCTCCTTGTAGACAGCAGAAAGAGAAGCCTTTCCAGCGTTTGGTAGACAGTGTGTAGGATGCATGAGATGGCGGAAAGCCAAGTGAATGGATGCGAACATATGCGAACGTTTGGATCATTGAGGATGATCAAACAAACTGACCACATGGAATAGAAACACCCAAATTGCTATGCTCATGGCAATTTTCAACACTGAGATCAGTAGAGTGGGTGATGTCTTCTGAAATCCTGACGCTGATCCTTAAGAGAATGTCCAGAACAGAGAAACGTGTAACAATGTGTAACAATGTGCAACATTAACAACACATATCAAAAACATCACAAGACAATTACTTTCCGCAGCTCTTTGGCATGCCTATTTAGGGCCCTCTCCATGCCCTCTCCCGCCGTTCCTTGTGGCCATGGCCTCCGTTCCGGCAGCAGCCGAAGCGCCGGACAGCGCGGCACCGGACGTGGCGCCGGTGTTCAGCGCGACCGACTCCGACCAAGCGCGGCACTTCGTGCATCTCCGGGTCTTGACGCTCAGTGGCGAGGAGGCCCACCACGCGACGCGAAGAGTCTGGTTGGATCGACAGGTCGGTCGTCTTCGCTGGGAAAAACCACCACGAAGCCAATCCTCTGAAGGACGGAGCCAATCCTGGAGAGCTCAATGGAGAGTCTCGGTCTGTCGAGTCGCTCGTTTGCACTTCGACGTATCGGAGTATCGTATCCGGCGCCGAAGTGCTGAAAGAAGGGAATTCCAAGACCTTCAAGAGGCAACAGAGATGAATTTTCCATCTTTATTTGATGCCCCCAGTTTGGGGTGTCTATAGCTCCTTAGAGGTGATTCGGGGTATCCCTTAACCACCTCAACCAGGGGGCCCTGGTACATATGCATATTCTGTGAGGTGTGAGGGACAGAGACTGGGAGATGTGGGTTTCTTGGGTTTCTTTGCGGCGTGAAAAGGGCCGGGTGAGTGCAGTCTAAAGTTTCTGGATGTCCTGAGAGATGTTCATAGATGTTCCGAACCAGTCAGGGTCGGTGTTTCCTCCACTAATGGTGAATGACATCCAGTTCCAAACTGAAGAATGCTTCTGGATGTTCCTTACTGATTGCATCTGATTGCTTACCTGCCTTAACCTCTCCAAGACGAATCTGATCATGAAGAATGGGATCCAAGGCCCTGGATCCACGGGAGTCCCTCATGTGTTCATCGACCAAACCGCAGACTCGATGCTTCTTCCCGTGGGATGACGAGAAACAGGTCTCCAGCACCCGACGAGAAACAGGTCTCCGAAATGGGGACGGATCCAGGAGACTGAAACGTCGCAGGTGGTGACCCGTCGGAGGGTCCTGGTATATGATGTTCATGGTTTTTTGGCCATGGGACTTATTCCATCTCCCCTGCCGATCGGAACATGGGGTGGTCACAATCTTTATGAGTTATGTCTCTGGGACACCGTATCCAATGGGCTATTGGAAGGAAGATTGTTCTTTGCCTTTTGGCCAATCTAAAGGGATCCAACATTATTCCTTTCCCAGACCATCCATGTATGGAATTGTTATGAATTGTTGCTGCATCTATGGATAGTGAAATTAGGGGTCCATGTATTCCATCTATGGGCCTTGGTTTGTCCTGCACAAACGTGAAACATCTCGTTTGTCCAGCTGTCGACCTGGCAGGTGGTGCCCTTGGCTCGCTATGAAGGGTACCAGTTGCTCTTGGATCTCAAGCGCGAGATTGCCACGCCGCCCGACGCACGAGCACCACGTGAGCGGGAGTGGTGCCAGGCGGTGGCGGAAGTCATGGAGTGGAAAACTTTGGTTTGGTGATTTCTATTTTCCCTCTGGGTGAATCCCCTTCTGGGGCATATGCTTCTTTTTTCGCCATTCCTCAAGCAACTCGAAGAAAAGGTATGCAGGTTGAGGACCTTTTATTCCAAAAAAGAGTGCCAGGATCGGCAAGGAACCTGAAGAAAGGCCACCCAAGAGGACAAAAGGTTCATCAAATGTGGACCCAGTTTGAGATTAAGGATTTTTCCGGTAGTAAGACCTGCAAACCTTGGTGAGACCCTAAGGAGAGGAACTCGGCCCAAGGCATGCTTCAGCTGTGGCGTTCTCGTGCGTTCTCGTGCGTTGACACACGCGGGGTCTCCGCCCTGAGGCGCACGGGTCACCCAGTTGCGCTCCAGCTGTTGATGCTCAGCTCAGGGACGGTGCTTGAGGGTGACCGAAGGAGATTCCAGGACGGGTCATGTGTACCACGCGAGGGGAAACCCGCGAGTTTCCAGGGTGGCCCAGAGCGATGCATACCAGGACCATCCTGTTGGGGTGTCCTGTTTGGACCCACAAGTATTGTAGGATAGTCATGGGATGTCATGGGTATAGCCTATTGGAGACCCCAAACAGGATGGTCCTGATAGGAAGAAAGTGTCTCTTTTGTTGGCCTTTTATTTGTTCTGCCTTTGGTTGTTTAGGTGGTGAATCACACTCTAATATATTCCACTTGCCCTTTCAACAGGAAGCCCTTCGGAGCGACGACATACGGACCGCGTCGCGTTACTTCATGCCCGTGGGACCACTGAATTCGGACGGCATCGCCGTTTGCAGCATCTCTCGCGCCGGTTAATCGCGACGCGTTCAGGTCTGTCCGACCCATGTGGGAGTTCTTGGGAATGACCTATAGCATTATCATGCACTATCTATAATGCCTTATATGTCCTTATATTGGAATCATCATGCATAATCATGGCTTATATTGGTGGAAGAATCATGGCCTCCAATTCGGGACCATTTTTCAAAGACCAAATATCGGTCCGTGCCATCCTCCACTTCCATGAGACCGGTGCCAGACCCTGGGCCTGGAGGGTGAAGTCTCGCTGAACTTGATCATTCGGAGTCCGGCGATTGACAGCTTGAAAGCGCCTGGGACGGCGGACCTCCGGAAACGGCAAGACCCGACCCGGTCAGGTCCGGAACCAGTTCTTCTCGCTGTTGAGAGGTTTTATACCTGGCTCTCTCGGAATCGATCATCAAAACGTCTCAGTACAGTCATGTATGTTCAATGGATCTCTTTGGTAAGTAACCATGAAATCAATGGTGGACGCTGGGGGCAGGAATCCTAGGGGGATTTCACCATTTAGTTTGTAACAGAAGCCCAGGACATGGGAACATGGTGGTTCATTTGTTCAAGTTGGTCTCATCCAAAAAGGTGGCTTTTTCTTGATCTTGCAGTTGTTTCACGTACGGTGAGCCGAGGAAAATATGCTGCCTTCAGCCAAGTGGACCCTTTTCGATGAACCGTGGATGACACGATTCACCGAAGTTTTGGGTCATGCTGCAAAGTCACGAAAGAGGTACCCGGCAAGAAAAGACAATCAGGTTGGTGGCTTTATTTAAAAAACAGCAGGTCCTGGCTTGGGTCGTTGAAGATTCATTTTAATAAACCAACAGCAGGTCTTCAACAACCCAAGCCAGGTTTCACTCGCCCCCTTGGACCCAACATTTGGCATGACATCATCTCGCTCGATCTGTGCAGCCGTTCTGTTTCCTTAAAAGCGCATCGGGTTTGTTGGGCCCAATGATGTGAAGGAAGATCAAACACATTCCCACATCTAAAGAAGTCCCCCGTAAGAGACCTGGAGACCGGATGAGAGAGGTCTGGCTTGGTAACACGACCGATGGTCTAAAGGGTTCCACACATCGGTTGGGTGGAAGGGTGGTCATGACATGGAGACCGACTGTCTCTGGCTTCCGACCCGGTCGTCCGGCAGTCGTCGCATGACATGTGTGTGACGCAACGGCAAGTCACAAACGTTGATGCGTGTGAACGACTCGTGTGAGACGAAGACACGACGTGTGAGGGACAGACAACCATTGCACAGTACTCCAACAGCTCCGATTCAACGGATCGCCGGATCACCTGGGCCATGTCGGCATACCCCGCTGCCAAGTCTGGTGGAAAAAGCCTTGCTAGCCCAGACCAAGAGCTGGTGGAGATTCATGTGGCTGGTTTCTTGGGAAGCAGACATTCTTGACTTATTGGACTTTTTTGTGGAACAAGAACGCTACTAGGAACATTTTGGGCATCGCTACGAACGGAGCAAGGACGCTACGAACGGGGCTCCTAGCATTCCTACTAGTAGCATTCTTACTACTAGTATCTACTAGTAACAAGAAAGCGATGACCTGATAGAACTGATAGAACCTCAAGGGTCACCCGACACCAACGGGGCATACCTCGTCCGACACCGGTCGAGTCAGTCGGTCCCAGTGACCCATCCTCAATCCGTTGGGCGAAGCCAGAAGAATCGGGCCAGGGATCCGTGAAGAAATGAAAGAACCAGACCATCCCTTACAACCATCCCCATCTCTTCTTTTTTTGAATTGCTACTGTATACCAGGACTGTTTGGGTGTCCAAGAACCAATTACTGTAACACAATAGGCTACCCTACGCTACTTAGGGATCTCCAGACGGGACACCCATTGGATGGTGCAGGTAATTATTGCCTCGGTTCCTAGTAGCTTCTTGCTCCTAGTAGTATGGCCAGGAGCCCCGTTCGTAGCGTCCTTGCTCCTAGTAGCGATGCCAGGAGCCCCTAGTAGCTTCTTGTTACTAGTAGAACATTTCTACCAGATGAACTCGCCGCGCTGCTCCAAATTCTGCCGGGCGCAGGTTTGGATGGTGCAAAGCTGCAGGTCCACGTACCCAGGCGCATCACCGGTCGTGAGCTGCGGCAACGGATCTCCCAGCACTTGCCAGCTCGAGCTGGTCGACGCGTCTCCGTGTTGAGAGGAACTGAAGTGCTGCACCTGGACGGTCAGGAGAAATGTGGAGCCTGATGTGGGTCATGGCATACCGAGCGGTGAACTGGTCGGGCTCCAGGTTTTGACACATCCCCATGCGATCGCGTTGCACAAGCAGTCAACTGGTACCATTTTCACCTCAAAATTGAGACTCTGTGGGGCCTCCCCTGCCTTGGCTAGGCCAGATTCAGTAGATCTCGGTATTGTGTCCTTCAAATTATATACTATTTTAAGAAGTACAGTATTATAGTCCTGGTGTTAATACACAATCAAGCATGCATGGGCTTTGAAGTGCATAGGCTGTCCACAGTGATCTGGAAGTCCCATGAAGCAGCGTCAATTGGTTTTTTCGGGCTTGGTAAATCCACTTCTTGCCGAACCGCCCATAAAGTCAAAACAACATGGGTCCACCTGATGCTCTTGAGGTGTGACATCATGATCCTCACTCTGTTTGAGACCATGTGTGCTCGGTTTGAGCAGGCCTGTAGGGGAGAGATGAGATACATCGATGACCCAGTTAAGCACTGATTTGCTTACCCTACCCACTTGGTGGATTACTTGCTTTCACCCTTTTTTAAGTGATTGGGGACACCTCACTCAAATCCAACAGGAAAGTTTGGTTAACCGTCATTTTCGAGGGGAAGTTCTGCTCGAGAGAATGTATGCCATATATGGCTACGGCCAGAAACATAAGGCTTGGATCACACACCCAAACCCACACACGATCCATACCTCGATCCATAGGGTATGGATCAAAAGGCTAGCGCTACCACTGCCACAACAACAACAACAACAACTACTACTACTACTACTGCTACTACTGTTGTTACTGCCACCACTCCTACTGCTACTACACTTGCTACCCCTACTGCTACTACCACTACTACTACTACGACGACGACGACTACTACTCCTGCTGCTGCTGCTGCTGCTACGCACTACTATCACTAGTATTACCACCACCACCACAGATTTAGCGGAAGCCACTAGATTCAACTTCAAATTGACTTCCCATTCTGGCAAAAGATTTAGCGGAATCCGCTAAGTGTGGTCATAGCCGGGACTCGAACTCTGACACCGTGGAAGGAGAGAATGGAAGATCAACGCTCTAGCCATTAAGCTACGGAAACCTCTGAGTGGAGGATGCAACCCAACTAGACCATATTAAAGACGGTGCCAGAAGACAAGATAGTGGAAGGCCAGACAGAATTAGCGGAAGCCATTAGCCAGTGATTGGAGCGAGCGTCTCCCTCATCATGGCTCAATATGAGGACGGTGGAGCCCAATGAATTTAGCGGCGGCCAGTACTTCAAAACAGGCTTGCCACAAACAGGATGGCTTTGATCGTGGAAGCCACCACCTTCACAGTGAACTGGTGAGAAAGTGGTGGGGTGGAGCGCCACCATGCAGATGTGTTTATATCGGGGGCTTGGATCAAGTGACTTGTCGGTTTGATCCATAGGGCTTGGATCAGCGCTCTGATCCATAGGGTTTGGATCACTCTCGCTGCAGCGCGGAACGATCCATACCAGGGTTTCTGGCCACACCCATATGCCTACATTGGGGTGGTTTTGGGGGTCAATGTAGGCATATATTGCATGCATGGAGTGTCTGGGCATTATTCATCCTTATTCTTTTGGCGCTGCTTAGCAGGTCTCATCTCCCACTGCTCCAGGAGCAACGGCTCGATGAGATTGAGGTCCTGTCAATGTCCTATGTCTTCGTTCCAACGAGCTTGCAGGAGAGTTCCGAAGCCCTCGCCTGCGATGAAGCGTGGGATGCAACATATGCCTTTGAAGGAATCACGCAGATACGTGGAGTCGCGAACATGAATCAGTTGAGATCTCTCCCCAATGGCCTTCAGAGCCTGACACTGAGCCATGATTTCAACCAGAGTTTAAGGGGAGTGGTGTTGCCGAGCTGCCTTCAGAGCCTGACCTTTGGCCACAGTTTTGACCAAAGTTTGGTGGGAATGGTTTGGCCTCGCAACCTTCAGACCCTGACGTTTGATTTCGAGTTCAAGCAGAGTTTGGTTGGGGTGGCTTGGCCGCAGAATCTTCAGAGCTTGACTTTTGGATATTACTTCAACCAGAGTTTAGTCGGAGTAGCTTGGCCAAAGAGCCTGAAGAGCATGACATTTGGTGCTCGCTTTAACCAGACTTTGACTCAAGTTGCTTGGCCCAGCGCTCTTGAGAGATTGATCTTCGGGGATCGTTTCAACCAGTCTTTGGCAGAAGTAGCTTGGCCCAACAGCTTGAAGAGCCTCACCTTTGGGAGAGAATTCAATCAGACTTTGTTGGGAAGAGCTTTACCTGCTAGCCTTCAGAGTCTCTCATTTGGACGCGACTTTAACCAGAGTCTTGCGGAAGTTGCCTTGCCCAGCAGCCTGCAGAGTTTGACGCTTGGATTGTGTTTTAAGCAGAGTTTGGCAGGTGTAGCTTGGCCCAGCGCTCTTCAAAGTTTGGCCTTGGACGGCTTCAACCATGCTTTGGCGGACTTGGCTTTCCCGAGCATGCTTCAGTGTTTGACCCTTGGACACGACTTCAATCAGAGCTTGGTGGGAGTGTTTTGGCCCAGCTCCCTTCTGACTTTAAGGATCGGGGATGGCTTCAACCAAAGTCTGACAGGGGTTGCTTGGCCCAGCAGGCTCGAAAGCTTCACCGTGGGGGATGGATTCAGCCAGAGTTTGCTGGGAGTTGCTTGGCCAAGCAATCTTCAGAGCCTCACTCTTGGTAGCTGCTTCCCACAAATGATGCCAGGTCCTCGCGCGAACCAACCGTTGGTGGGAGTGGCTTGGCCGAGAAGCCTTCAGATCCTCACGCTCGGTGGTGGTTTCAACCAAAGTTTGGCGGGAACTGTTTGGCCCAGCACACTTCAAAGCTTGAACTTTGGAGCTGACTTTAATCAAAGCTTGGTGGGAGCGCCTTTGCCTGGTCACCTTCAGAGTCTGACTTTTGGTGGTTCCTTTGATCAAGATTTGATGGAAGTGACTTGGCCCAGCACTCTTCACACATTGACCTTTGGTACCCACTTCAAGCATCGTTTGACTGGAGCAGTTTTGCCGGGCACACTTCTGAGTCTGACGTTTGGTGCAGAATTCAACCAGAGTTTGGCCGGAGTTCTGCCGGCCAACCTTCAGAACCTCACGCTCGGACGCGACTTCAACCAGAGTCTTGCGGGAGTTGCTTTGCCTAGCAGCCTTCAGAGTTTGACGTTCGGATGCAAATTTAAGCAGAGTTTGGCAGGTGTAGCTTGGCCCAGCAGCCTTCAGAGCCTCAGGTTTGCCGATGGCTTCCACAAGAGAGACTTGGTGGGAGTGTTATTGCCCATGAGTATTAGAAGCTTGACTTGGGGACGCGATCTATTCTTGAGCACTTTGTGAGCTAGGCTACGATCTATTTTTGAGGCCAAGCATGGCTCCAGTCTTGGCAGTAACCCTGCGGAGTTCAACCAGACCACCAGGACATGCGTTCGACCAGGCTGCTTTCTGATGGGAGCAGGACATGCTGTGTGAAAAGAAGCTATAGCTGCGTGTAGCAGTGTGTCATCCAGCCCTTTTTCTGCTTTGCTTCTGGAAAACCGACAAGTTGACTTGAACCAGAAGAACTTGAACCGTTGAGCCTCACATGAGCCGCTCAAAGGGACTTTGAAAGGATGTGGCTCTCGGGCCGTGGATGCACTGAGACTCCGCCCTCGCCTCGCCCAGCACGGCGCCTGGCCGCTCGCGTCGTCCGGTCCGACGCGTGGAGCTCTGAGGCGCAGTGGCTGTAGACGCTGAGAGAAGTGAGGAAACACCAGCGATGAGAGACCTCTAAAGACCATGATTCTCAGCAGGTGGACCTCATTTCAGGTCCGGTCGTGCCAAAAAGCAGTACTAGCTCAATGAGGTCAAGGAGCAGGTTTTACTTGGTTTGTGAACCAGCGTAGGAGGGCTTCTGATTGAGGGGCTGTGCAGTTCAAATCTGAAGAAAGGCAGACCACCCCCCATCCGTGCTGGTCTTAGATCAACCGAACTTTGAACAAAGACCTCCCGCTGCGGGGTCTCAGTCTGGGAGTTGAATTTGGGTTGAGACACGCTCTTGGACTCCAGATGTTCAATGATGGGTCAACGAAATGAAACGACACGGCTTGGACCTCACAGCTAGGTCCGCTAGGTTTCTGTGGCTTGACCTCATAGCGATGCAGCGGAGCCGAAAATGCAACCGGAGTGACCCAATGACAATGACTTTGTCGCCTCCTTCATCACTGGATCGCTCCATTTATGTGAATCATAGCATCAGGAGTCTACTATTTTTCCCACCAAAAATGAACAACATAGACTGCCAGACATGGTCAACCTACCAGGGGTGAGTTCCGGGCTCCAGGTTGTGACTCAAAGCCACAGGATCCTCGCACACTGGAAGGTGCTCGTGTCATCCGACTGGGTAGCAACATCCGTACCAACTGGGCGCAGCAGTCGAAGCAGATTGGGTACCAACATGGCGGTCCAAACCCAGTTGACCGGAACTCACCCTAGTAGGTTATCCATGTTTGGCAGTCTATTCACCGTGGAAAGCAAGTACCCGGGTGTGGCGCGACTCAACAGCAAATGGGTACATAGCTCGGTTAGAGCGGCATTCATTTGGCATCTTTGGTGCCACCGCCATCATGCCTTCGCCCATCCCGAGGAACGTTTTCGAGCCAATGGGAGCGCAGATGGCAATGATTTCCAGGAGAAAAGCAGTCGCCGTTGCGCGCGGAGACGTTTCGGTTACAGTATTGGATCATGTGGGGGGTTCATCGATGGGGGGCGTCGCAGATGGCAGATGAAAGCCCTTCCTTTTTGGAAGACGACGCAGCGATTCTAGAAGCATCTCTTGATGGGTTTTGGCTTGGAGTCTGACATTCATGTGCCTGATCATCCCTGTTTGAGGTCCTGTGGACCTGTGTTTAGCTTTGAACATTGGGATTTCCACGGCGCACACCTTTGTCCCACCCTGCCCGGCCACCTGAACCTCCAGGTCACTCCGTCGCGCCTTTTCGTTTAAGGTCTCGACCTGACCGGAGACCGTCAGGTCAGACCTCCCACCTCAACCGCGAGGTCTTCACGTCCGCGGCCTCACGACTGGAAGCAACAGACGCGCCAGGAGATCATCCTGACGTGCGCGACTGCCCGCGAACTCTTTCTCAAAGCGCCACCCCTCTTAGCACCTGGGCCATGATAGATGTGACGGGTGGTGAGGAGGACGGTGTGCAGGGTGGTGTGGGAAGGTGGCCGGGCTGCAACACATGCAGGCATGCCCTTGATCCGGTACTGTAGTGGTTGAAGTGGTACCCTGGAAGCTTCAATTTGTTGTGTTTCTGGATGTGTTACCGCCCTCCAATGTGGTATCTCTGTTGGGAGTTTGGTTCGTTTAGCCACACTTGACTTCACTTGACGTCACAAAAATTGGTCATCCTTTTCAAACCGACGAAGCACGTCAGCGGTCACGCCCCAATAACGCAAGACCGCAGGGGGCGGGGGGTCAGACACAGGAGTTCATTTGAACTCTTCCGAAAACTGCCAGTGACAGTCTCGATTCTTTGGTACAACGAACAGGCAGGACATCCTTTGTACAGCCACGAATTCACCCTAATGCTGGATTTTTTAAAGAAACATTCGGAACTTCTCATTCTTTCTCTTTTGATGTTTTCAGCCCTGAGACTAAGAGCGGATTCAGCAGCTTTTCTTGGTCACCCCAAGGAGCTGGAGCCGCCGGTGGTCCTGGCAGCCAATCTGCTGGGAATTTCGGCGTCCGGGGAGTTCACTCGGGAGGTGCCGTGCAAAAAGTGCCACGGAAAGGTCTGAAACTCGGTATAATGGCATGGAAACATGGGAGTATGGACATGCAAACATGGTACTGACATGTATTGAATGTAGTGACTCTGGATGAATAGAACCACCGCAACCGATTGCTAAACCTCTTCAGGCCTGGGAGGTTATATCATCAAGAGTCTATACATTACATGCATTCGTGGACGATCCACACCCAGAAACATGCCTGATTTGTTACGGCGGTGACTGTATATAGAAGAACAAGAACAATATTACAATTCCAGATGCAATGACTTGTACTTCAGGATGCCCATGGTGAAGGGTACGGACCTTTATGGAGATTTGTCGCTTCCAGCTTAATATGGAAGTCCTCGATGACATGGATGGATCCTTTACCAGTGGGGCGAAAACTACTTTGATGCAATGCAAACGTGCACCTCAAGTGCTGGTACTTGCGTGGAATGGACACCACCTAAGGAATGACTCTGGTGCTTCCTAAAACTTGAAACCCTTATCAAAGCTGGTGTTGATGTTGGACATGGAGTTCTTCTAGCTGAAGGTTCGGAGGGAGCGATTCGGAGCCAGATCTATATCCCAGGAGTCACAGGGAGCCATTCGGAGCCACAGGGACCACGGAAGTTCCCGAAAAAAGCCACGTAGCTCGGGACCACGCAGGACAACCGTGCTTTCCAAGGACATTTGGAGCAGCTGAATCACATTCTTCAAAGCTCAGGGGAACCACCCGAGACGCAGTACCTCTTCCTGGGGAATCAGGTGCATGGATCGTGCAGGGTGTTCGGACGCGGTCGCCGGACGCCGGACGCTTTTCTTTTTTTTAACGTCCGAGGCTGGGATCGGCGGGGCCCGGTTTTTCGGAGAAATGCCGGAGATTCAAAAGTGCGACGTGACCCGTCAGGAAGAAAACTGATATCTCTCAGACACTCGACTCTCAGAAAGATGGTGTTTGATGGCTCAATGATGCTAGAGATCTGTTTGAGGTTTTCTGGTCTCTTTTGAGAGCAAGGGATTCAGGGTGGCAGTCATGCCGAAACCGCAGAATTCCTCTGGGTTGGTCTAAATGGTCATCCATTCATGGCTATTTTACCATTGCTTGGTCGATTAATTGAGGAGACTCCTATGTGTACAACCAATAGGACCCCAAAGACTACCAAACTGACCCTTCTATTCTACTATTCCCACGGTCGGACGGTCCAACCATCATTGCATCCGTCATCACACACGAGTCACATGGAATGGCCAACTGGTTCACCATCGTGAAAACCGTTGGCTTTGCTTGGATTCCGTCAGCACCGGATCGCCTCGGTTTTTGGGTTGCGTTGCGACGGTTGGTGAGAAAGGTTTTCTGGTGTAGAACGAAGATCCCGGCGTGGACGGCTCCAAGCAAAGCAAGCAAAAGCCACCGTCAGACTGGCCATAGGCTAAGCTCTGAATATAATATATGTGGGCTCTTTTTATAATAAAGAAATCAATAAATTAATGAGCCCACATAAGTAAATTAAAGATATAAGATATTAATGCCCATAAATGTTATAGCTATTTCTTATTAATTTATGGGCATATAGATAAGGGAGAATGAATAATATATGATGTGCCATTTTATTTATTGATTCTTTAATTAATGGCACATCCATGATTAATAAATTGGATCAAATCCGAAGATTGCGATTTGTGGAGTGTGAAGGGCCGAGGTGATCTATGAAAAGAAGGGGACAAATCGAAGGGACGCGATATCTTTTTCGATAACACTTCATACGACATGTTGAAACCTGTTAAATAATGTTAATTGCCCATGTCTTTGTGTCACCATCATCCGGCTTTAATGCCATCGTTGGCCATCGCTGGCCATCGTTGGCCAAGTGTCCTGTGGGCGGAACTCCGTCGAGACCATGAGCCTCTTGTTGCTCTACAAGATCACTGACCCAGATCTTTGGGCTAGCACAGACCTCTATAGATCAGATGTGGCAAAAAACTCTAAAAACGCACAAAGATACACACAAACTGCCAGGGCTGAGCCAACGAGCGTTTGCATCGTTCTTGTCCCTTGTTCACTGATCCAGACTACGTGAGTTCTCTCTCACTCTGAGGGGCGGGAGCCGTCTGCGGAAATCCCCTGATGTCGTAGAGGGCCATACATCACGCATCAATAGCTTCCCATGCACACTTTTGCTTGAGAAAGGTATGCTTCCCCCTCAGGGTGGCTTGGGGGGCTTGGCTTCTGCTTCCATGCATTGAAACAAGTGAGCTTCGTGAGAATGGCAGTGCTGTGTCGTTATTGGAAGCCGCCCCATGATTCCTAATTAAGCTGGTTTTCAATTCATAGATTTGGCAGTAGCTAGAGTTGGAGTTTCTTGAAAGAGCCCCATGGCATTTCAGACTCCCTCCCATCATACACTTCAGAGGACGGGCAATCAGGGCTCCGTATGTCCTCCCCAGCAATTTTCTTTAAAAGCCGGGTGCATTGCCTTCTGGATATCTTCGGCAAAAAAAACACGGGCAAAGCACAACTGCAGACTCTCCCCCTGTGCTTCATACATCTCTCCCAATTTCTTGCTGACCTTTCCCACCCCTTCTGCGCATTAGAAGACAAGACCATCAAAAATCCAAATTCAACAGGATCAGAGTCTCATTGCATCAGACCAGGCATCATACGAGGTCGCAGAGATGCGAGGCATCACAAGGCGCTGAAATCTGTTCATCTTCTTCAACCCTATAGTGATCTCAGAAACGGAACGATGTTCACCACGATGTCCACCTCCCCCTCTTAAACACACTGTAGTCCCTTTATGTCCAAACATGAAACAAATCCAACATATGCACCTAGAACCTCCTCATTCATGTTTTTTTCAATCCCCTCTCCCGTCCCTTTGACTTAGAAGAGTTGGATGGATTATGTACCTTGTATCACCAAACTCACGTGTTTTGCAGATCCCTCATCCGGTACCTACAGTCTCGATCTTGTTTCTTTGGGGGAATGCACTTGCGATAGACGCTTCGTGGATTTTCTGGACCCCTCGAGGATCGGCTCGAGGTTGAACACCTCCGCACCCGATCCAAGGATCGAATGCATTTGCTGCGCGGGAAGCAGGATTGTGCCACTCTGTCGCGGCTCTACGGCTTCTATGCTGAGTGTCCCGCGGACTCCACTTTCTGCCGAGATGACGACGAAGAGCAAAACTGTTCATTTTCATGGACTGTGGGGGTTGCCTTGCAGCGGGTGTGTGTTGATGTGTTTGTGTAACCCGCTGTCACAAGTGCTTGACACTTAATACAATGCAGGGGGGCAGCGTTCCATTCAGCAGTCATTGCCTAACAAAGACGCTGCTGGAACGTACCTGCATTTTCACTGGCTATGGCAAGAGACATTGAACCAAGAACCTCAGCATGAGATGACTCAGTGGGGAGACACAGTCTTTCCATCCTGAACTATGAGCTTGACAGTGTCGCTCAACCTACCCGTACTTGTAGACAGTGGACTTAGGAGGTTCTGGACTTCGAAAATTCCAACAACTCCCATTCACAGTGTGTTTCGGGTGCATACGTTCTTGGCGACAGTCAAGGCTTTTTTATAAGCCATTGAGTAGCCTGCGCAGCTTTGAGCGCAGATGCCTCGTGCGAAATTGCATCACACAAAAAACACTATCTTCGGAGAAGCATCCACTCATAATCCTTCAGGCTCAGATGTGCACATGTGCACAGTGCATTGGCAACTCAACCAGGCAAGGTACTCCAGGTGGAAAGAGTGAGGTGTGGCTTTGTTTGGTTGATCCTTTGTCACCGTTCGTTTCCCATTCGACAGCCACATACCTGTCGTTTTGTTTTTCGCGTTTTGGCATCTGATCTTTCTTTTTCTGCATACCTGTCGGCCCCGAGGGCGTCCGTGCACAAGCATGGCAAAGCCAGGCTCCCAAATCCACCAGCACCATAATACACACGATGTCTTAATAGGCATCTGCGATGCTTTTGAAATCACCGTGTTTGTGTGTCAAACATTGATGCACATGAGTCGGATATTCCATTCTTCTTACCTTTTGGTTTTGGACATTGAACATGGAGGTGAAAGTGGTGGTGGTGGTGTGGGAGGGTTTTAGTGATGGTGAGGTGGTGAAGTTGGTGAACAGTTGGTGAATTTGGGGCAAAGGTGATCAAGTTGGTCAAGCTTTGGTGGGAATTTGATGAATTTGGTGAATCTGGTGAGAGACTGGTGAACGAATTTGGTGACAACTTGGGGAATTTGGTGAAAAGTTGGTGAACAGCAGGTGAAGTTGGTGAGCAGTTGGTGAAAAGTTGATGACGTTTGTGACTGAAGCTCATTCCTCCAAGAGCCACCCCGCAAAGCTATTGGCATGGCTGTTTGCAGATCAGGCAAGCAAAAGCTGAACGTGAAAGCCTGGAAAGCCTTCATGAACGTCTTCAACGTGATGCCCTTGGCCGCCCGAATCGCTCAGAAGATCTTCTGTGTCCACTCCGGTTTGTCCCCGCACTTGGATCACCTGGAACAGCTCCGCACCCCGGTGGAAGCCGGGCGCTTCAAGCGGCGAGCGTCGCGGCGATCGCCGGAGCAGCAGAGGAGGGGAGGACGGTCCGTGCTAACAGATTTTGGGCCTATGGAAGTGGCTGAGGGCGTCAGGAAATCAGAGAGCTCGAGTTCCAGAGAGGTCCACAGTAATGAATTGCAATTCTAGATTCTGGATGGTCCTTGTGGAACTGTTTGGGTTCTCTACTTTCCAAATCCTTTTATATACATCAAGACCATTTGACCTTTGTGCAGGTTTTGCAGTGTCAAAGCTCCTAAAAGATGTTGTTCGGTCGAAGAAACTACCATATTTCAAGTTCCACGATTGTTTGACTCGAATTGCCAATTGTTTGTTCACAGGTTTGCTCAAGTCCCCAGACATGTGCTTACTTTGCGTTGGTGCAGTGGTGGTCGAACTATCCAACAAGAGCCTGGGAAAATGAACCATTTTGACAGGCTCTCAATATACTTCGTGAGCCTAGACCTAGCAGTCAACTATAGAAACTGATCAACCAAGGGTTACTGTACTTCTTTTGGCTATACTAACGATGCCATGGACCTCCTGCAGGATCTCTATCGCTTGGGTCTGCCCCCCTGGGGCCGATCCCTCCGTGGCCAGAGATTTGGTCCATCACTCACTATGGGGGATAGATCACAACTTGGAGCTTCGCTCCACCATGTAGCTTCACCTGGTCGGTCTCCGGGTGCCATGACCCACAGCGATCTTGGACGCTTCAAAAGACGATTGAGGAGATCTGGAGAGACCTACAGATGTGCCGTCTGATGGCCTGCTTTGCGACTCGACTCGACTCTTCCGCTTTTTCTTGTGAAGTCCACTTCGAGCCGTTCGAGCGCAACGGTGGGGGTGGTGGGTCCCCATCTCACCAGCCGGTCCTCCTGCCCCCGCCCCCCTTAAAAAATGAACACAGCGACGGAGCATCCATCACCATCACGAATTCACCCAAGGGAGCTAATCATCAACACCGAAAGCGAGCTGGCCAGTCTGGCCAGCGGCTGCTTTTTTGAGAAGGAAGTCTGGTTTTGAGAGCTATTTGAACGAGGTGGTTTGCGCATTGCAGCTTAGCGAGTATGAGTGGCGCAGCTTCAGGACAAGCATCACGGTGTTTCCTGTGGAAATGGCTAAAGCTGAACATGTGGCAGTTAGCGAGTCCCTGCTTAAAATTTGAAAGGAGGCTTTGCTTGAGTCCTGTTAGCTGTTTCGCATTGACAGCCGTCTTCTAGGCACAAACTCTGGAGAGTGTGTGAATGGGTGGTTCCTGAAACTTAATCTTCTAAAATTCCAATGTCAATTTTGTCAATTTTTTGGACATCTCTAGCTTGGACAACCCAGGCATTACTAGCAGAGTAAGCAGAGGTTGTTCTTTTTGATCCCAAAGACTTGGACTCATAGCTTTTGTAGAGTGCAGGAAGTCGTCCTGGTGAGTGTATGTTTCAATCTTGCATCAAGATTCCTGTACTGGTCAAAACTTGTGATTTCCTGTACTGGTTTTCTCTGTGCAACGCGCTGCTTTTTCTTGGAATTTGTCGACAGTTTTTTCATTGGGAATTTGGTACAGTCCAGTCCAGGGTGTTTTCGGAACTTGATGTTGCGTGTGCGGTATTAATGACGTGGTTGTGCTTGGGAGATCGTTGGCTTCGTCCCAGGGGTGGGTTGGACCCGTACAAAATGAATCCAATGAACGTCCAATTGGACGTTCGGAGAACGGGGGAACGTTTCAAGCGGATCGTTGATGGCCAATGAGAGGCATCCGTGGGAATAAGGCATGCAACATGGCCTTAACATGCCTAAACAAACGGTTACTTCTGATGTTTTTGCTGAAGGTCCGAGGTGGGTGATCCTACCGCTGTGTTCAGCAAACCATCGTTTTGAACGGTTCGCACACCCAAATGCCAAGATCAAAAAGCATCCTCGTCATGTGGTTCACAGAGACCTGGAGGTGTATGTGGACACGCAAACCGGCAAGTGAAACAGCAGGAAGTATAGTCAGGATGCTCGGCTTCAACCGAAGCAGCATAGGTTGCAAATGTGATGCTTATTGGGGTGTATCGAACCTACGCTACTACCATATTTTATATATAATACATACTCTTTTTGAACTTCTTCATGGCACACCGAACGAAACGTCCAAGGGGCTGGGAATGTTCATCACGACCGCACCATTTTTTCCATCATAACTCATAACACACTTGTTGGCCAGCAGCTGCCGACAAACTTCACACAACAAGGCATTTAAGGATTGGGTTTGAAGTGGGCTGACGGATGATTCCGCATGTGTTTCGTCCTTTTTTGGGGTGGATCAATGGAATCCAAACACTTCTGAAGAACACCGATTTCAATCCGGCCACCAGACCGAGATTGTTTGAAGTTGGACAGTTGAGATGCCAAGAGTTTCAGAGTTACTCAGTGGATAGCCTTTTATATTTTTTTTATTGTTACTACTAGTAAGGCACTTGTTACTAGTAGCGATGCATTTGTTCCTAGTAGCTTCTTGTTCCTTTTTGGGGGAGTGGCTGAGCACCTTTTTTCCCGGGACAAAGTCGAGGGAGTCATTGATTGGGTTCTTAGACGTTCCCAGGTGATCTCCTGTGGTCTTCTTTCGAGGAAACGGAGGAGGGCTGGGGCACCAAAGATGAGCAGCTCTCCATCACGACCGTCACATTTGGGTCAAAGGCCAGTCCGCCTTTGGGCTTTGGGTGGTTCTTGCGGTTTGGGGTTTTGATCTGTGGCATGCATTCCAGGATGGGGGGGCGGATTTGGTGGTCCGAACCCGACCGAGATCATGTCTTGCTTCGTCGAAATGTCGCGCCTTCGAAGTGGCCGAAAACCAGTTTCTGCCCAAAGATTTACTTGATCTATACTTCCGACACCACCAAATGGCTGGTTTTTGTTGGGCCAACCAACGAACCGTACCAAGAGAGGTTGGGAGACCTTAAAGGACCAATTATTGGTCTGTAAATAGGGGCTGCGATCAGGGACCTTTTTCTCAACTCCCGAAAACTAATATGGACCCGGGTCGAATGGGACCTGGAAAGACTGGAAGTTCCACAAACCGACGTGGTTTTCAGGAGACTGTAGCTTAAGAACAAGCGCGCTTTGTGGCCAGGTTCTTGAGACGTTTCTGACGCGCAACCACTTAGAGATGATGTTCCTTTTCTGAATCGAGAATGAAATGAGCTGGAGTCGAAGAAGAGCCTGAAGCGTGACATCGCAAGAAGTGCGACCAATGAATAGAGAAAATGAATGAACATGACCCAATGGACAGGAAAGCAAACAAACAAACAAACAAACAAACAGGTGTTCCAAGAAAGGACGGTCTTGGATGGAGGGGCTTTGTGTCTTGGCTATGGCTAGGGTGTAGCCCATTATCAGTGGTTAAAAGACTATATCACTATCTATCACTATTTTTTTTGCGAAAGGCCTTTACTAACGAAATCCAAAAAACAACCCACAGTTACTGGTAAAGGGATGAAGATATGGCGTCTAATTGATCCGTCCAAGAGTGAGTACGGCATCGACACGAAGGACCGAGACTGATCGTTTGGAGACGCTGCAGACGTTTGGTCTTCCTGTGGAGTCCGGGGGAGTTGAGAAGTGAAACAGCCTCAAACATGGGCAAACTGAGATTTGGAGGTGAACATTTAACCGAAGAAGAAGTAGAAGCAGAAGCAGAAGCAGAAGCAGAAGCAGAAGAAGAAGAAGAAGAAGAAGAAGAAGAATAAGAAAGAAGAGGAAGGAGAACTACTAAACTAAACTCATACTCAGCCCATTCCGAACCCGTAGCCCCTTCCAACAAAAACCTTCTCCCAAAAGCAGACCGTGAATCGGTCTCGGCTTCTGCGGAGAAACCGAGGATTTGTTCGCAGGGCGTCCCCGAGGAGGGCTACGAGTGGCTCAAAGGTCCGGGCGCTCGATCGGTCGGGTCGGCTGTGAGGAAGACCTTCTTCACATGCCGACATCCGATTGACATCCAATTTGACCATCTTTGCTAGCTTTGTTTTCTTTTGTTTGCTCTGCTTTGCAATTGTTTGTTTAGTTTTTTGCCGGCTTATTTGTTTGCTTTGTAACTGGCCGTCGCTGACCGGTCGCTTCCAGGTGGCCAACTCCTGTCCATCTTCAGCGCCTCGAGATCCGTGCAGGACTTTCAAAACAAGGGCGCTATCTTCAAGCTGAATGAAGACTTGCAACACGAGGCCTGGACAGAGCGGGTTCACGTAGTTCCAAGGTCCAGGGCCAAAAAAACGGACGTAGTTGGGGCACCGAAGAAGTCATGGTTGGAAGGGAATCCGTTCCAGCGCTTTTGGGATCTGACCCAACCTCACAAGAATGACGTGTGCCTTTTTGTCCAGTTTCCCTGTGCCTTTTGTGAGGATTTGTGGATACCAAGATGATACTAATATAATCTAATATATACAAATTAGTGAGAATGGATTGGAGAAGATCGATTCTTCCAATTGATGGAGGCTTGTGGGGGTGTGCAGGAATTAGGTGGCTTCGATCCGAAAGATCACGCGATCACCCTCAAGCCTCCCGACCCGTAAAGAGCGCGCTTCCACGAGGTCACTCATCCGGGTTTGGGTCCATCTGGTCCAAGCATCGGCACAATGAAGCCTTTTAACACACATCAAACAATGTGGCAGTTCAAAAGACTAGCTCCTGGAAGTGTTCCCCAACTTGGGACGATTTCTCCAAAAACAGCACCAGCATACCTTCTTCGCACCCCCAGAAATACACATGCACGAACCGGGAACGCACCGTCCGGGGCAGGTGGTCACGCATGACATGCCTTGACCGCGAAGTTGGAACCCACCACGGGCTGTGTGGCTTGGAGCAGCGTGAGCTGATGGGATGATGTGGTCGATGTGGTTGGATACGTCACGTGTCTTGTCTCTTTTTCTGCGGTCCACAGATCCTCGAGGTTTAGGAGGACATGTTGCGGTGTTGGAGTTCTGCGACACGTTGTGAGATGTTGTGAGCATGCAACATTAATGTTTTTCTCCAGGTATAGCCAAAGAGAGAGCTATTTTGTTGTACTTGAAGTTGAGTTGTTTGTACTTGAACCAACCAGAAGCCTTCATGGTGGCCTTTGCAAAGATAGCAAAGGATGACATCAATAATAACCAAGATTGTTTCTACGGCACCTCAAATGTTGGAGCCACTGGGAGCTCAAAGTTCGCGAGCGATTTCAGATGCTTCTCTGTTGCTTCGGGTCCTTGCTTCCGCCAGGACATGTTTGTGAAGCAGTAACGCCTTTACCCCAAGAAGTCCAAAGACTATTCCTTTGTGAAGTCAAGGAAATTCCCGAGGGGATCTGCTTTTGCCTCGGCTGCCTTCAGGCCCGGTAGCGGCACCGGCGGAGCTACCTCGCCGTGGGGCATTGCGAACGTGTGGCGCTCGCGAGGGGAAAAAGGGGGGGGCAAATTGGTGAGGGGCTAGTGATCGAGGGAAGGGATGATTGGATTATGAGTTTGGGCTCATTCCATCAAGCGAATCCCGCAACCCAAACCCACAACAGACTACCGCCACTACCGCGTGACTAGTCGCGCGCAGGTCTCTGCGGACTACGCCCAGGGTCAGCACCAGGACGTGGGTGAGCAGGGTTTTTGGGATACAAGAGGGACTTGACCTCACTACATGCATCATACTATATGTTTTACCACTTGGGACTCAAGCAACAAGCTCTTCAGAATGGCCGTGTGCGGTACAGGTGCCGACGGATACACTTGTTCTCGGCTTCCATGCGGCTCGCGCCCCATCCTCCCGCGCGTCGCATCAAACCAGGAGAGCTCCGTGCTTCTGCGAAGCCAGTCACGGCGCCTGGTCGCGCGGCTAGGTGCGGCCCCGAACGGGGCGGCGCGGGACCGTGGTGAGTGGCGTGGACCCGCGCGGGACCGGAGTGAGTGGAGTGGTGGTTAGACGTGGAGGTCGTTGACCCCTTTTGCGGGCTTACGCCGAGCCTCCATGGCTTCATCTTTGAGGGCAAAGAAACCGCCTGGAAGAAGGAAAATAGACCTACCCATTGGGAGAAGGAACATATACACCCAATTTCTATCGATTTCTCATCATTCTTTTCAATTTTATTCAGCTTCACACGAAGTCGGTGTCCTTGCTGTCGACCTCAGTGCGTCAGGCTTCGGGGTGGACCTACTTCGACGCTTTGTTTAAAAAGGGATCACCGATTCCACCGGTCAGATCAGCTGATCATCTCCAAAACTTGCATTTGAGGATCTACGCGGCGGATTCACCCAGATTCATGGGGTTACATAAATACATTATATCTAACACATCTTACTATAGACGAGGAAAAGTTGAAGTCGCATATTTTGGACAATCTGCCTTTTGCTAGTGAGTTTATGTTTGGATGATACTCTATGTTTGGAGCTATGTCACATTTCACCACCCTTAATCGCATCAAAGAACATCCAAACATATCCAAACTCCTTCTCTTTCCTTGACTCGGACCGTAGGCGGCGTGGAGCTGCTCATGAAGGCCATGCAGCGCTTCACGCGGAATGAGCCGCTGCAGCGGAGCTGCTGCGCGGCCCTGGGGCAGTTGGCCAACGAGGTCAAGGCGGAGCACCGCATGCGACGGAGGGTTGCCGGGCTGCTGAGTCGCTGGTGGCTTTTGCCTGGTAATTCAAGCTGTAACATCAAGAACTTTTGCAATGCTTGATTGAGACAAGGGATTCTGTCCTGCTATTGATCCGCATCATTTTTGCTTGGAATTGATCCTGTTTTGTCGTGTCCAGACACTCTTAGTCTTGGAAGCTTTTATGTTTGGAGGCATAATCACTTCCATGCACATCATTACCCTCACCTTCGAAACCCTTCAAAAGAAAGGTTGACCTGGTGTTACAGTCTAAAAACCTTATAGTAAAACCATGGTTGTTCGGTAAAGACAAATACATCTATATTTGTCGGAATTCCCTATATATATAGGTGAATCAAATTTAAGACTGCACCAGTGCAGGTCGATACACAATTACTTAAGTGCACCAGTTGGATAGTACTGGTCCTGCGTTGCGTCCCGCTTGCTCCATTACTTCATGATTTCGAAGCGTCTCAAGTTGCTCAGGAGGTCGATGTGGAGCAGAAAGTGGTGCAATTGCTGATGCAGGCAGCTCACGACGAACCGCTGATGCCGCTGTCGCGAAAGCTGAGGGACAGCTTCAAGCTGATGTGATACGGTCTGACAGAAACTTTCAAATCCACAAATTCAATCCGCAGACTTCAGAGGTGGCAGCACTTGTGAACATGATCGTTCAATCGGATTACTGCTAAAAACCGCTTGGCTTGGCTGACAAGCAAGTCGGTCCCATGGTGGGGTTTGTCTCGGGGAAATGGTTTCGAGTCTTACGTTCATCCCAGACTCCATGCGAGGAATATTTGCCTACATTGACTGCTTTTCAACCACTCCAATGTATAGGTCAATATGCCACCCATGGAGTGTTTGGGCATCGTTTCTTTTCGACCATATGCTTGGTGGCCTCATCAGGATGGTCCTATGACTTTGTATGACTTTGTCGTTAAAAAAAGCAGCGCAGGAGGATGCAGGAGGTTCTTTTTTGGCACATGTCAACATCAAAGCTGATCATTCTCTCGAAACCGATCGTGATAATATCCATGAGATCTCCAGGTTTGGGACCTCAAATAGATCCGGATTAGTACATCTTCAAGGAAGGTGGAAGAAAACACGGTGGACGCATGAAAACACGTTTCATGCTCCACGACTGGATCGACCTTCCCTTCCACCCGGTTCGAGCGCAAACAGCAAAACGGTTCAACGCGCAGAACCGGACCTCACTCCGCGTGGCGCAGGCGCTTCGCGCTCCTCCCCGCGCGGCTGGAGGGACGGAGGCCTCCAGCTGCGCGCGCTACGGGGCGCAGGCGCTGAGGCACTTTGCCACGCATGGGGAGACAAAGAGCTTCATCGTGGGGAAACCCAGTGAGGGGAGAAGGATGAAGGGGTTGGGAAGTTGGGATAGGGGTGCTTTTCTCTTTTTTCTTTCTGTCTTCCTTTCTGTGAAATAGATGGGGTCTGGTGACTGGTGGGAAAGGAACTGGCAAGAAATAGAGACTCTTATTGTTCGGCAGTAGAGGATATCTCTTTTTCAGATTCCTACAGTACCCCGTAGACAACCTTTAATAATTATTTAATCCTTTTTGGGGATTGGCGTTAGTTTCCCCACTCATTTCGCAAGAACAGGTGGAAGGTTAGGTAAACCCTCATTTTCCAGGATCTCCGGCTTTCATGTGTGTGCTAGTTGCTCGGGGCCGGAGAAGGGAGAATGATGGGCTCCGTCCATCCGCTAGTGATTTCAGGTAGGTAGACATTCTGTGACAGGATCTAGACACCCACCTGGACTATAGTGACTACTTGTAGTGTCTAGGAATCCAACTACCATTCATTGAACGGCCTGAATTCTGAAGAACCATAGTTTCGACTACAAACCAGGTCAACCTTTGAGTGGTCGAACAGGGTCTGCCAGTTTGCCGATAAGCTTCTTTGGTTTCCACCATCATTTGGACGTGTCTATTACTTACCCCTCACAGCTATTCTCACAACAAAAACATAAGAACCTTAATCCATCGTTCCGATCTTCTTCAAACGAAAAGCCCGGACATGTACCATTTTTCCCTTCCCGACGTCAGACTCGACCGCTGGGACTGTCACTGTCGACAGGCGCGGCTTGGTGGCATCGAAGAGCTGCACGACTTGGCGCTGCGAGGCCTTCAGGCGAGCGCCACGGGCCGACGGGGTGGCACAGAGCCCCTCCCTTTGTGAGGAGCCCCATGTGGTGAGGTGGAAGGCAAGATAGGTGACGGTTGGAACACTGGAGGAAGACCTTGAAGACTGGGGCGACGCGAGGATTCCGGGAGGGAGAGAAAGAAGATGCTGGAAGCTTGAAAGTGCGAACTGGGCATCAAGATGCATCAAGGCTATGATTGGTACTAGTACTGATGTTAAGGTATATGTGAAGAGTCCTGTACAGCTGAGACTTCTCCTTTTTTAAAACAGACTTTAAACCATCGGTTTTTGTTGTTGGTGTACGGATTCCCTGAGTGTAGGAAGAGCTCTGTCGAGGCCATTGTCACTCCTCTTTTCGTCCCAGGCACCCAGCACCAACCAGCAGCTGCGGGCAGCTGCCACTGAGGCACCCTCTGATGTGTTCCGTTGGCGTGCGCCCACACAGACCACATAAAACGGGAAGCTTTCGTCGGGTTTTATACGGCAAAGCGGGTCGCCGGGGCGCCCTGAAGGATTTTCCCAACGAAACGACCCAAAATCCAAGACTTCTGGACCTCCAAATCCCACACCTCGAGGTCTAACGCCTCGAGCCGAAACGCGCCCACGCCGCACGTGCCGCCCTGTGTCGGGAGCCACGACGTGACCGCCGAAGCGTCGAGGCCTTGGGCGCCCTGTGTCACTTGGCCTCGAAGCATCCGGAGAACAAGCTCCGCATCTTCGACGCTGGGCGACGTCCGACGTTATGACGCGTTGCGACGCGTTACGGTTTGGAGCGGTGTTCGGTGTTTTTGGGAGACGAGGTGCGACGGGCTACAAAAGAGACAGCGCCATTGGAGGTAGGGGAGGTAGGGGCAGACTGGATAGAATGTCGGATGTGTTGGTGATCTTCTCGTTTAAAAGACAACGTGTATATATATATATATAAGTGATCAGGGAGAGAGCCCTCTTTGGACTTTGCATGGGTCATGTCTTGAGAACAATCTGTCAAGGAAACTCAAGCTATTATAACGTTACCGGTTATTGACGGTTATTGATGCTTGTTTTTGCTCTCTGAGTTGCAATGCCAAACTGGAGAACCTCAGCCCACTATTGAATAGGGATATAGGGAGACGTCCCAAAGACCCCCTGGAAGGAAGGAAAAAGACAAAAACATACAAAAACCAATTGGTTGCGATGAAAATACTGGACTACACACCCAAAAATGCGGAAGAACATTTAATCGTTTCACCACACCTTTCCCTGCGCCACATGCTGTTTCAGATGTGGAAAGTCTCCCCACCCGGTCGTTTTTTCTTTTCGCACTCAGGAAGCTGGCTGCCTGGAGTTGGCGTTCCAAGCACTTGGTCTCTTGGAGCCATCGACAGGAATGTTAACGTTTCTTTGTATCAGAAGTACCCAAAATCGTTGCGTCGCAATGTGGAACACCTTGAGACCAGTTGGATTCGTCGTGATTGGTCCGGAACATTCTGGAACCATTTGGAGCAATTTGAGCCAAAGGAACCATGAACGGAACATTTCATGCAGCTATTGTAACACGGTTGTGTTGCTGGATTTGAGATCTTTGGTCGTAACGCCCAGATATGGCTCAAATGGAAGCAAGGGGCCACAGGATACCACACACTGTTGCTGTGCGTTCACTTAGGCGCGTTGGGGCAAGTTGGGGGGGGATCTTTGCACCAGCTCCCTTTTTTTTGAGCCCTCCAACGGAGTCTGTCGCTACTTCCGCTGTCGCTCAGGTTCTTCCACCACGGCGCCAGCGGAGACGGCAGAAGGTGTCGAGGCGTCCGAGGCGACGGAAGTGCCGGAGCCGGAGCTGGTGCCTTTGGCGAAGAGAGATGAAGAGATCCAGGAGATACAGAGATACGCAATACCCAAGCACTCCATGTACGTATGACATACGGTACATGCCATGTAGTATTGGAACGTCTCCCGCAAGTGGAACACTATACCACCACATAGTCAGGGGTGGTTACTGGATGGAACATACATAGTCAGAGGTGTCCATAAAACACCCGAACAAAAACGTGGTGCAGACCTCAAGTTATTCTGGGTGACCCCTAAACTGGGCGCTTGAGGTGCTTGCGTTTGGACTTGGAATGCACTTAGACTTGGGACGAAAGAGGCCTCGAACTAGTATATATAGTAGCTAACAGGGTCATTGACTCATAGACCGATGTCGGACATCCCAAAGATCCATCTAGAAACCCGGATCTAAAAGATCTACATCCAGATTCAACGCAGCTTTCTCATGCTTTCCTCCCTTCGCTCCCTTCCAGATCCTTTGAGTTGCTCTTACTAGGCGGCTCAAAGCACCATACCGGGCTGTGTTTCACACGTGTCACGTGCCGTGCCAGTGTCGTCCGAGGCCATGGCCGCCTGTGGCTTGTTACACAACATGTCAGTGGATGCCGCCATCCGGAGCCATGTGGTGACTTGGGCGGAGGGGGAGCGAGAGAGAGAGAGAGAGATAGAGGAGGAGAGAAAAAGAAAGCGGTGGAGAGGAAAGAATGATGCGGCTTGGGCTTGAAACAGTTCGAAATGACTTACAGTAAGCTACATCGATAAACACCTTTAAACAACTTGGTGGAGTTATTTGGAGTTCAATTTCCTACGTATTGATACGTCCGATATTTGTGTGGATGTATGCATTCTGCCAGGTTCAGGCCGTGTTTTCTTGTTTCAATTCGTTCAGCCGTGCCGTATTGCATGCCAGGTGAAGCTGGGCGGCCGCGCCGCGGCGGAGCGCTTGGCGGCCTCGCACCCGGAGGGCGCCGTGCGGAACTTGGCGATGCTGCCGCTTGGAGACGCTGGTGAGACAGGTGGTGGGAGAGGTGTTCTGGTGCGTTAGGCTTACTGATGCTTTATTGATGCTTTAATGTTTTTCTTCTTTTTTGAATCACAAATCCTGCAAGGGGCGACAGGAGGGTGTGGTGTTCCTTTGACTTTTGGACACGACATGTGCGGCCATGCTTGAAGCCTCAATTGGTTTTGGGGTGAAACACATCATCTGAAGAGGTATGGAAACGTGAAATCAGGGCAGTGGCAGTGGTGGCCCAGGGTGGCTTTTGCTTGGGAGACAGAGAGTGGGATTGTAGATGTTGATGTTTTGGTTCTTTTTTTTCTTGGCAGAGGAACCATTTTGGCTCGAACTATTCCCTCTATACAGCAAATGCAGTCTGGGGCATCAGCACGGAGATCACAACACTCTCAAGTGCCACTGTCACAAAGCTTCATGAGGAGGAATTGGCCTACATGGTGGAGAATGGACATTACTGTATGTTAAGGATCTGAAGATCTGAAGAAACTCCTGGTGGATTGAGTGGGGTTTTCAAGATTTCGACAAAGACTCTTGAGTGAAGAGGTAGGCGAGCTACAGGATGATATGCCTGTCAGAGAAGTACCAAGCTTGCAGTTGGTCGTCCTAAACTTTTGCCCGCCTGAGGAGGCTGTTTGGGAAACAGACTAAACCTTTGCTGGTCTCAACCAAGTTCCACTCACAGGTGCCTAAGTTCCAGTAACGAGGCCTTTGGGCCTTTCTGCTAAGGCTCTCCAAGACCCTGAAGCCCCGGGAGGCGCAGCGTTCGTCGTTCCGTCGCCACTCCGCTCAGAGAACGTCCCAAAACGAGGGCGACTGGCGGTCGGTCCTTGGATCTGTCAACTCATCCCAAAAAGAAGTGTCAGTGGAGAATCTGTGGAGTTTCTTACTTTTTCTTACTGCAGTTTTGAACAGGGACACTTCAGGGGATCTTCACGGCTTTTTACACAATGTGAAGTGATATCTGTGAACTTGTGTCCCAGCTGCTTCTCAAACTCCCTTCAGGCTTCTTCTTTTCCGAATGTTTCACTGCTTTTCAGCACCATATACCTCCCCTCCCCAAAAAAACACGGCCGCCTTCGCACTATCCCTCGCTATATCCATACACCCCGGAAGTCACTCCCCCGTCCACACCGTTCCTCGGTTCGCCCCAACCCGCGAGGAGGCCGCCGGCGATCCCTTCGGCGCCCTCTTCGCCCAGCGCACGCCGGGCCTGGCGGCGCCGCGGCGCGTGGCCTCCAAGCGCGAGCGGAAGATCGCCTCGGAGGTGGGGTGGTGGGATTGCGGTGTCGGCGCACGGAGCGGCGGTTTCGGCTGGGAGGGAACGTTAGAAGTGGAAGTTGGAGTGGGATATTGAGAGGAGGACGTGCTTCTTTTCCTCAGCTTAATAGGCTTTTCATTTTTTGAGGTAGACGCTCCAGGCAGTCCAACAAGTTTGGGGATGTTCCTGTAAACAGCCTGTACCTGGCTGCTGATGGTGTTGCCAGTTACAGTTTGGCGAACTGTTGGTGATTTATCTTCAGGAAAATGCTCTTAGGTCTTCCAAGTGGTGCACTCACTCTTTTTATTTCCACTGAGAATCACCTAGACTGTCACCTCACCTCAGCGTGCTCATCCAAAGCACTCGGCACCCACCCGCCAGCCCATCAGGTCAAGGCCGCATACGCCCAAGCAGAAGAGCCGCGCTAGCGCGAGCGGACAGCGGAGGCCGCCTGTAAGGCCTGACGCCTCGAACGGCACGGGCGGGTGAGCCATCGTCGAATGAGGGACACTTACAAAACGTTGCAAAACGCGAAGCAGCCGAAGCAGGTGGAAAATGCTCAACAGCTCGAATGCACGAACGAAAACAGCTCCAGGTGGGCAGAGCACGAGGAGGAATCAACAACAAAACTTGGCTTTGATAAGATGCAAGTGATGCTACCTTGATAGGAAAGCACTTCAGGCATTCCTTTGACTCAATGTTTGATCGGTGGGCCAACCACGTGCGCTTCGCTCAAGACAGCGAGCAAGACTTCCTTTGATACAAGCCGCACCTGGATTCTCAAGGACCCAATGGATTCATGACCTAAAACAAGCGAATGTACAGAGTACTTGGACACTTCCCAATCCTCAAAAAGGTCAGACACATTTGGAGTGTCTTACGTATTGACCCACTTGTCCAACGATGTAGGCGCTGTGACTGGAAGCCGATGGAAGCCGTCTTCGTGCCTGATTTTTTCCGAGAGTGGAAGGCAACTGTACAAAGTCACTGAGCGACTGAAACGGGCCTAGCGTGTCTGGACTTGATTGGTGTTGGAGATGTTGTTCAGCCACATGGAACATGACGAGCTCTGGTGTTGGCCAAAACATGCCCAAGACCAATCTCGGACATGATCGGCAAAATGTGTTGATCCCCGGACTTACAGTGAAACATTTGCCACCAGTTGTCCAATTTCTTTCAGTAGTCTGCTGGTGCAGCATGTCCAGGATTCTAGGCTATGGGACTTTGACGGTTTTTGGCTCTTTCAACCAACACTAATCCTATGCAAATCTTATGTTTGGAGTGTTAGGGGGTTATCCATCATCCTAGGCATGGGGTGGGGAATCATTAACCTACGTAATTTTTTTTTGGACGATGCACTTGCACACACAGACTCTTTGTAGTCACACAGGGTCAAGGACCCGCGCTCAGCAAATCGTCAGTCGCTCAGCACCGTCGCGCATTCCAAAGCGCGAAGGAAATCATTCTTCAGATTTTTCTTGCGACTTTCAACGAATCCAGAAATGACATGAAGACTTTTGATGATTACTTTTGAAGAAGAAGAAGAAGACAGTCCTGATCTGATGGAATCGGCACTTCACAACTTCTCAATCGGGGTCAGCCACGGTGTTCAACGCATGCGGTCATTCGTTCGGGTGAACTCTGTCCGGTGCGGTTGACGCGTCCCAAGGAGCGGGGACTCTGAGAAGTGGTTGTGGGTCAAGACCGGATATCCAGTTTCTTCCCGATAGAATATGTTAATTACTTTTGAACATCCTGTCTGATTCTATTCTGATTTCTTCCCGGGATATTCCGAACATGAATCAGAATAGACTAGTTACTTTTGATCAGACATTCTGCTGTGTGCGACATTCTTCTGTCTCACTGGGATTCGTCATGTTTGTGAGCTAGAACAGAATAGGGCTACCATGTCATACCATGTCCATGGTCAACCTACCAGGCGGAGTTCCAGGCTCCGGGATGAAGAACCCACAGCCAAGTGAGAAACTCAAGAAAATCCATGGACTTGAGGCCCTCCCCTTGTTTAGTGTGAGGTCATGAAGATTCAATCCATTCAGAACATGTTTTTTCTAAGGTGACACCCGGATGTGCTGTTCCAATCCGTGAAGTGAAGCCTATCAGATGGAACGTCCACGCAGAATACTGGATTTGCGAAAGACCAGACCGCCGCTTCCCCAACAGCGGATCTCCGGCGGATCTTTGCCCTCAAAGCCGCCAAAAAAAGGCCTGGCCCGTGCTTCTTGTTACTAGCAAGACTGCTCCTAGTAGTACTGCCAGGAGCCCGGTTCGTAGCGTCCTTGCTCCGTTCGTAGCGATGCCATGTTACTGTGCTCTAGATGTGTCCATTCATTCATGTCCTTCAGTGGTCTTCCCCTTTGCATTGACAAGGGGCAAGCTTCAGGGACTTGGCACCTTGCTTTCCTTTATGTGGTGAGAAGGGTAGTGGGTGCAGCTTGGAACTGGGTCTTCCCAAGAGTGTCCACCATTCAACAAACCAAAGCTGCTTGGTGAATGCTGGTAGGTCAACTCTTGGCCGTTTCTCCGGGTTCCATTGGTATCTATGTCATAGACCACTTGCTGCAAGACACCGAGAAAACCTTCACGATGAACTCTGTGGGCAAAACAAGCTCAATCACCCTGGGTGGTCTTGGCGCTTTTGGATGATTTTACCTTGCAGTTTCGGCTGCTTCTCCAAGGGGATGACTCCCACGACTCGACACTTGGGGGCGCTGCAGGGCCAACATGCTTATCCTACTCAATCAGTGGCCAACCTTTAACCTTTTGGGGGCATTATGGGAGATAGGTTTTCCACTCCACTCAAATCCAACAGGTGCCTTCAGTTCGCTTCACCTTTCATGTTCCAGGTCCTGTCGGGGTGTCCAGTCTGGTTTTCGCCCACAAGTATTATTGGACACTGGGCAGTCCATTGGAGACCACGACTGGATGGTCCAGGTACAAGAGTTAGCTCTATAGCGCCTTCTGTGTGTTTTGTTTTTAATCTGGATTGAGTAACGAATTGTTTCTCACGTGAGACCAAATTGTCATTACTCAACCACACTCAACCCCAACGACTGGGGCCGTCTTCAGACGTCCACGCCGAGGCCTATGAGGGCGAGCTGCAACTCCTGGAATCCGCACGCCTCGTGGGACTGCCGGGCTCTCCGGACGACGGGACGTCGGGGACGGGGAGACCGGTGAAGGTTCTTCCAGCTGTGGAGGTCTGTGGAGAACGTTCCATCCAATAAAGCCTGGCGATTTTCACCATATCCCGGTTTTGAGTCTTGAGGGACCAGTTCCGGCTTGTTGATGGGGCGTTTGGTACCCTCGCAGAGCGGTGCGCCATCAATTGGCTCACAGATTTCACACACACACAACTGGCTTCCGCTCGGATAGCCAGAACTTGAGATGATCCTTACCTGGATCTTCCAATTGTGACAAATTTATGCCTTTTAATCCACAAACAAAAAGCAGCCCAAAGGCAGAAATTTGGTTGGAAGATCCATGGTACATATTTGAAGTTGTTGAATGAACAGTCTGGTCGTCTAATTGAAGTCTGCAGATCAGGTCGCCGGAGAATTTGACATCATGATCCCAACTTCTTGAAACTTCCTGGTCACAACCCAGATTCTTGCGGACCCTTCCACCTTCCTTCTCTCCATATAGCTGGACCCTGCGCTCTTTCTTCCCAGGTCACCCTTATTTTCTGCCTCCACCGACTCACCGACCAACGCCAAAGGCTCATCTTAGTCTTCGTGCGTCGCAGCATCGCCCAGCTGGTGGAGAACTGTCGCGCCACCTCTCTGGGCATCGGCGTCGGAGGCGTCGGGGGTCGCGGACGGGTGTCGCGGAGGTCACCGCGCTTCGCGACAGTTCGCCGCCGCGGGCTTCGCCGGGAACCGCGGACAGGGGCGAAGCACAAGGTCGGGAGTCGGGGTGCATGGTCGGTGTGGGCGGAATGGATGGTGTAGCTTGGGTGCTGGGTGCTGCCGTGGCCGATTCTACTGGGAGGTCGAAGGAACACAGGATGAAACGGGTGGCTCCATGGTTATCCAGAAGATTCCAGAAGTATGCTGGCTGATGGTCGCCATGGTCGCTGCTAACGGGGTGAAGCTTCTTCCAAGCATTCTTTCCAAGAGCAGGTGTGTGACATGTTCATTAACTCAGGGATTTCGGACGTGATCCCGACGTTCCGGGTGCCCAATGGTGCCCGTCAGGCTACGGTGGTAACAAAGGCGCAGTGGCAGTGCGATTCGAGCTGGGCCGGGAGCTCTGTGAATTTCTGCTCGCCTGTGGGATCAGGGAGCAACGCCAACGCAAATGCAAAAACGCTTGGCGGATGGAATTTGGGTAGATCATGGTACCTATAGACACTCCGTGGGACTGCCATAGGACTGCCTATCCATTGGGGTGGTGCCGGTCAGTGGGGCCGGCAGTCCTATGGCAGTCCCATGAGTCGTGTCTGGGGTAGGGTAGATCATGGTAAAGCAAAGAATCTGGCCATGTCCTTTACCACGAGTGTTCTGGATCGGGCGTGGAAAGCTGAGGCGCTTCGATTGAAAGGAGGGGGGGTGGGTTCGATCTATGCGAGTGTGCAGTCTATAGATATAAATCTATTGCTGGATGCCAATGGTATACTTGCTCTTTGGCATAACATCATTGCTCTTTTGAACATGAATTTGATATTATTGAATGTTGTTCAAGCAAATTTAGTACATCGCGACCGGAAGGAGGTTGAGGCGCAACAAGGTGACTGCATAGATCATCTATAGATCAGGTCAGCCAAATGGTGCTGAGGCCGCTCCTCCTTTTGCTTCGTCAATGTGCATTTGGCCGCCGGGCAGGAGCATGTTTTCGTCGTTGTTCATGAACCCAAACTCCTGGTTGGAAGTTGCACCTGAAGACCTTTCAAGTCACTGGGCAGTACACTACTGAAAGGTCTTCCATGGTCTTCACTGGGTCAACTACCTGAAGTAGTGTACCGAGCATTCTACTGAGAAAGGTCTTTGACTTCCCAGGGGAACGTTGACTTTCTTGGACGGGCCTTCTGTAGCCCAAGGAATCTTAGGGGATCTTAGGGGTGTATATTTAACTGCTGTATCTTTCTGGATCAGTGATACCTTTCAGAGGATCCCTGCATCAACATGCAGACTATAGTTGGACTTCAAAGTAAGAAGCAATCGATACCTCTTCCCCCACAGCCTTCAAATATTCGTCACAAACCGATAGCTGGAATTGACGAACCTTGGGATCTGCCAAGAATACCTGCAGAGAAATACCTCAAGCTGCTATGATCTGAGTGTGGCGGTATCCCCAAGCCAACAGAGGTCAAGCGACCTTCTAGGACACGACAGGGGCACCTATAGGACCGGGAATGGGACCCAGATAGTCCATAGGGTTCTTCAATCTCTGGAGATGCACTGGCAGCGCCACAGGAGAACTACATCGCACGCTGCCAGAACTACGGCACGGGCTGCCCAAACAGATGCCGACGCCGACATCGGCAGACCATGTTTTCCGCAGAATCCCCGTGCTGTTCACGCTTTGCCTGTGCTTTTTGATGCTTTTTGTCCAACTCTTGCGGTTGTTGCACACATTTTTGACCACACCTCCGATTGAGGTTGGCCCCAAAAATATAACCCGGGCAAGCATAAGGTGTGTGCGTTTTTAACAGAAAGATTCCTCACCAATGGTCTTTTGTATGGTTTTTGTCTATTTCCCTTCTTGCTGGGGGGGCCGTGGGAAGTCTCCCGATTTCAGTACACACTAAAAAAAGGCAACATATATCCCCTCACAATCTAACATGGAACCTGAGAATTGATCCGTAGAAAATCATGTTCCTTTGCAACCGAGTGGTTTTGGGGAAGCAACAGAGTGGTCCTCTGCAGGGGAGTAAAGAAGATAGTGACCTCCCAGCTCCACCTGGCAGCTACAGCCGACTTGCAATTGCCAGGCACCATCCTCAGCAAGCTGCAATTTGACGACGACGAAGATGCGATGCACAGCTACACCACCACCACCACGACGGCTCCGGAAACCCAGCCGTCGAATGGGGAGATGGCGGAGTGTTACATTGGAGAACGCATGGCCTGGGCACCGAGGATGTCTGTGTATGTCAGTAGTCATCTACGAGAGGCCATGATCAGTAAAGCATCTTGAAGCAGCATAAGTGTGCGTCTTTCCAGTCCTGTCAGTTGCATCAGAACCTTCCATGACTCGTTTTGTTGCTGATCGTTTCCCTCACTACTTGCGGCAAGATCCACTAACCGTACTGCACAGAGCAGACTGATTATATATGTTTCTCATTTTTGGGCTCGCACAGCGTTCGTGAAGTTCTGGGCATTTCTCTTTTTGGGGAACAACTCCACAACCCACAAGAGGGGTTTCTCCAAAATCTCTGATGATTAGTCGTTACACGAATGGTATTCAGTACAGTGGTTAGACTGGTTAGACATGGTTATAGACTTATAATTCTATATTACTCTCTGACTCTCTGACCCCAACAAGGGTCTTTCGTCAGTCTGTCTTTGGCGCTTACTCGTCAACCTCCGAGTTCTCCAAGCTACAGAAACCGGACGTCCACGCCGGGAAAAAGATGAACCACCAGTCAGTGGCCCTTCATTGATTCATTCCTACGGAAGTAAACGTGGCCCTTTTCTCACCTGCAGGTCACCGTTTTCTTCTTTCGGGGATTGGGGACGCCCCACGCAAATCCAACAGGTGATAACAGGTGGAAAAAGGATGGTTTTGACTCAAAGACTTAAGACCCAAATAGATCTCAAATAGAACCGCCCCCCCCCCCAAAAAAAAAGAAACAAAGGATTATATGTTGGACTCCTCGAGGACCTATTTTGAGAAACACAAAACGCATCTGAACAGCTTGTTTTTCCTTTGGGACGAACTGGGAACTGGGATGCCGCACCGCCGCCCGCCCGTTCGCCCACGCGCCCAGGATGGCCTCGAGGCGGTCGGTCGTGCTCCGTCGGTGGCGGTCGGGTGAACGGGTGAAGAGGTCGTTTGGCCGTGGGTCGGGTACCGTTTTTGTTCGATGAAAAAGATCATGTCCAGATATGTCCTGTAATATGTCCAGATATGACGTGCTTTCAGATGGCACTAGTAGCACATGTAGAGATCCAAGAAGTTATTGGGATAGGTTTTCAAGATTTCAAGATGTCTTTTTAGGTAAAGGGTCCTGACAAAACTGTTGATTCAATGTAGACTGTTGATATTTGTCGGTGAATAATGCCCCCCATACCAGAAGATGTACAACTACTCCGGGCGGAGACGTGTCTTTTCTTTTGACAATCAATCAACATGACCACATTTTCGCTGGTACCTGTATTGCTGTTGGGAGTGTTTTGCTTCTGTCAAATCACCCGTCTTCACTCCAAATCTTCCCGATCTTCGGAGAGCCGTCTGGTTTGGCTACGACCGACCCTCGACGGAGAGCCGAGTCGAGCGAGCGACCCTGCTGGACTCGGTTTGGCCCCCGTGTTTTGGGCGGGTTCGACTCGTTGGGTCGGAGTGACAAGTGGGACTCCAACGAGTGAAGAGTGACCGACATGCCGGGCATTTTGGATGGGACATTCCATGGAATTCCTTCCATGCTAAGAAGGTGGTTGATGTTGCTGAAAGTTTGCTCATCGCCATGGCGGTATTCCAGTTCCTACCTCCCGGACCGATTTGTCCCGGACCCTTGGGCGCCCTTTTCTTGGCATCAGTTCCATCGGTCACGCAGCTGCCTGTCCCAAGCTTCTGGGGGCTGCGCGGACGTGCCATGGAAGAGGCCGTGGAGGCGAGACGTGCGCGGCCGTGGGGTGTGGTCAAGAGAAGCCTGGGAAGGCCCCGGTCCCAGGAAGTACGTGATCACCTGCTTTCACCTACTTTCCAGGAAAAATTGGCCATGCCAACCCCTTCTACAAAGGGGTACGATCCACCACTCGGACCGCTCGGTTTTTCAGGCACCTGGAACGGGTCAACACCTGGAACGCTGGTCGTTTCCCACACAGCGCACGACCGGAAATCGGGCAGATCAACCGTTCAGTCTCCTGCTGCCACGACTGCCGCGGCACCGACTGCGCCAGGCCGTACCCCTGTCCGTCGCGCCCAAGCGACTCAGAAGCTTCCCTGTGCCGTCCCTTCGATGCGATGGCATCCGCCCGTCGAAATGGGATCGCAGGAGGTGGTGGGAAGAATTTGTATACTTATATAATGGGTCCCCAAATAGTTGAATTTGTATGGTGTCCAATAGTTGTTTTACGGTTTTTGTATGGATTTATTCTATCTATTTGGAGGTCACTATTACAGTGCTTTTCATTGTTTTCTACAGAGGTTTTGGGAAGAATTCGATCAATACTTCAAGATGCTGGACAAGAATGACTGATCCTATGTATTCAAATGCATTTGTCTCGAATGTTTGGATGCATGGGTTTGACCACAAGAAAGATCAACAACGAGCTTGTGAATTTATATATGTTATCGATTGATTAATATACGGCATACTCACCCACCGATGGCTATTGTGAATGGTTCCATCCTCCTAACGTGATTAATTAGTTCTTTCTTCAAACTTCTTCCCCAACATGTCCAAGAACAGCAACATCGTCAGAGTTCGTGCCTCTCCAAACCAAATAACTTGTGGAAGTTGTATGCCCTAGGAAGTTTGAAGGCACTTTGCTCCCTAAAATCCTCTGGGACGCCCTGCGTATGTGTTGGTGTTTGTCACATTTCTTCCGTTTCCTTTTTCTGGGCTCCCACCCTTATTTTTTCACCAGGCGTTGAACAATGGGCGTCTCTTTTTCACCAGCGATGCTCAGGTTCAATAGCCATGGCTCGGGTGGTGTCAATGGAGAAGGGAACGCCCGGGAGACCTGGAAGTCTTTTGGGCGGACTAGTTTGGCCGGTGGAGTGGTGCAACTGAGTCTGGAATGCGAAGTCCTTCGCAAACGAAGATTGTCATGAGTTCAGTTACTTTTTAAACGATTCATTCCCTTGGAGCTGTTGGAGTTGTTGAAAGTGTTCACCCTGTGTCGCTTCGCTGCAATAGCGACGTATATATCGTATATAACTCTTCTAACTGTATAGAATGTATATAGTATATGACTTATATGAGAATAATATAGTATAAACAATATGTCGATGAATAAAGGCAATACCCCTAAAGTGTACAACCGATTATGGCACCTGGGCATCGAAAAGAAGTCGCACGGATCCGCTCCGGTGCACTCCGCGCACGTCCGCCGCGAGCTCCGGCTCCGCTGTGAGCGGCGGGTACGTGGCTTTGGACCGATCCAGGTAGAGTGGTCTCAGAGCATGGGGCAATTCACCTTCACCCACCGCCTGGAGGCACGCGGCACGCGTTCTGTTCGGGACCTCGCGCGAGTTCGTGGTCGCTCGCAGGTGAGGAAAGAAACACAAACGCATTTTAAGTACTACGCGTTTGATTTGGGATTCGAAAGAATGCATGTGCTGCTGTTTATTTTCTTACATCCCGTTTGGCATGTCATGGGGTGTCTATGACGAGGCCCGAAAAGAGGTGAAGGGCGGCCTTTTAACCTCTTTTAACCACCCCAGCGGTCTTGGCGCATGCGCTGCACTGCTCACGCCGTGCACGATATGCCGCAAGACTTGCAAGCTGGTCAGGGATAACCACCCCAGGGGTGCATCTGTCCCTGTTGCTTGAGAGGTTGGTCGCACGTTGCTTGAGCTTTGTTCGCCTGCCGTTTGGACCGTCCGGATGGTAAACGGTCACCGGGTCGTCGAAGCCGTGGACGCCCAGTCGAAACCTGGGTCCGTTTGAACTCCACGGAGCGAGTTCGAAGATTTCGAAGGACATGGAGAAATCCCAGGAACTCGAAGATGCTCGAAGGACGTTGTTTGGGAAAAACAAGGAAAAAAAAGACACCGATGTTTGGAGCTTTAGCCTCCCTCGCCGAAGAAGATGCTGGCTGGAGATCTCGGTGCTGTTCGAAAACCACCTGTTGGAAGGTCCTGGTAATTGCAGAAAGCAGGTCAGGCAAAGGCCTCATGAACCAGGCTTGAGCATAAGATCATTTCAAGAAATAGGCAAAACTTCGTGGGACAGCTAGGGTTCGGTGAAGTGCTTCTGGGCCAAGCCAAAACCTCTTCGCGATGATTCTCGCTGCAGGGCGCGCTGCCTGACAGGACCCAACCGGGTTTGGAGTGGGGTTCAATGCCCGGTCCATACACCTTGAAACCCGGGTTTTGTTTTAAGGTGATGTTCGTTCTATCTGTGGGTGAATCCCCTGGCATGGGATTTGCTTTTGTAACTGGACAGCAAATGCAAGAAACGCTTGGGACAGAAGGATCTCCAAGGGCTGGGAGCTGCAGTTAGATGGGACATTTCAAAGATCCATGGTGCGAAGTCTCTTTTGCACAGGCGTTGAACTGAGGTCATGCACTTGCCTGGATGATGTGAGAAGTTCCTTGAATTGCGATGAATTCCCTTGGGTTGCTGCAGTGAGGGTAGTTGGAGCCCACACTGTGTGAGAAAAACCCACTGACGGTTCGAACTGCCCACGAACAAGTCCTGCTGTGCTATTCTCAAACTTGCAACTCTTCCAGCCTGGATTGATTGTCCAACCAGTATGGCCCATGTGTTCGTTCAAACCATTTGGATGCCGTTTTTCTTCCAAAAGCTGCTGCCCATCTTTACAATTTCAAATTCTTGATATTCTCCAGTCACAAGCCATCCCAGTCACGGGAAATCACTGAGAACCCGGTTTTTGATCCATGGAGACCACTCCGACCAGCGGTTCTTCAGCTGACTGCGCCGATCTTCAGCCTCCAGCGGTGCCACAGCGCCGATCTTCACTTTCGAGGGATCGGGATCTGAATCTCATACTGCAGGCATATATAACATAGGGCATAGGGGTTTGGGGTCGAACCAATCCGGTTTTGAGGGACCGGTCAGGTCGAAGGCGATTTTAGCGAGCTATTGTTTCTTCATGGTGGCTCGAATCTGATGCGACGGATTCCGACGGATCATCCATGAAAAACGTGGTCATGATTTCGGCAGGAAGGAGTGGACCTCCGACGAGGTCAAGGTGCAGCTCTCCTCCAAGAGTCTCCAGGTGCTCAAATGGGAGGAGAGGGATGAAAGGAGGGCAGGTATCTACAGAAGAAACGTGGTGTAACCTGCTATCACCCTATTTGATCCTATTTGTGTGTGTTGTTATTTTGGAGGCGCACTGCACACTCAAAAAGGACCAGGTGGAACGTTCGGAGAACACCTTCTTGTAAAAAAGTATTCGGATTCCGGGAAATCACTGATTTGGTCATTCAGAAGATGTTCTGAACCAGAGCCCCCCGATATAGTTTATGACTAGCCCTGAAAAGAGATCCCAGGGCTAGTTGAACCATCCCAAACAGGGAGGAAGAGATCGGAGCGTCTGGTTCGAAAATTTATAAAACACCACATCGACACGTGCGATTCTTTCTTTCTGACCTGGTGGAGTCACTGTGGCAGTATGTTGGCGGAGACTGCAGAGGGAGGTAGGTGAGCAAATCAATGATATTTACATACACGTTATATATTTATACAGACACATTATTTGTTCAGGAAACCCTATAGTGTGTACAGGTGGTTGAAAATTGTAATTAATACATGTACAGTATAAATATTTTAAATCTATATATATATATATGTATATATATACATAGTATAATTAGCTAGTACAGTATGACGTTTTCGGTCGCAGGTGACCTTGAACGGCACTGTCTACAAGCAGTTGACGGGAGATTTCGCGGGCGAGATCTTTCGCTTCAAGTCCTGGAGCCTTTGAAGAACGGGAGGAATTCCTGGAAGAACATGAAGAACGCGTTCTGCCGGGAAGGCATGGGTGAATTCATTCGTGAGAAGGGCCCAAATGTTTTGGGAAGCAAGAAAGATACCTGGGTCATTCGATGGGTGTCCAATAGACTACCCTACACTGCTTCTGGACC